CTCTTGGTCGAAAGTTGAAACAACGCTCTCTTGTATTGAACCATGAATGCGTTGTATTTGGGCTCTGGACTTTAGTTGTCTTGCAGTGGAAGCTGCAGTGATAGAGAGAAGATGAATCTTGTCGGCTTTCGATGTCAAAGCTTGGCTTTGCAACTGGCCGCCATGGGGAGCCTCATTTATCTCTGATATTCGGGGATAGAATTTCTTCGATAGATGGCGTCTTCATGAGGGGTATGTCACCTTTCTCACATACTGAATGTAGGCAAATGAAATTCTAAAAACTTTTGAAGGAAGATCGAGAAAAGTGCTTCCGTTCATTATCAAATTCCAGAGTAGATAACATTACTTTTTCCATAATCTTTTCATTTTCTGGAAAACAACTGCATCATATTAAAAAAAATAGGAGTGTCAAAAAGAGAAATCAATGAACTTTCAACTGAGATATCGCTTGACCCCTGACACCATTTAAGATTTGAGGGTTGGATTTCACCCAAACGAGAGAGTTGAAGTGAAATGGTTGATAATAGATACAAAAGATTTTCCCCTCGAAATAAAAATCGGAGGATCTTGAGCGAGCTTTTTCCGATTGCCATTTATGGGGAATTGGCAATGTTTCATTTGCACTGGCCCACCCTCCATATTTGTTTTCAAAAATCGGTGTTGACGTTTGGACCATAACAAACTCAATCCAGCTGCCTAACTAAAATTCAATTAGTGAAAAGAAAAAAGAAAATAAAACCGACGCGACGTTTCAGAAGGTCATTTCGATATAACAAAATATATGTTATACAAAGTATATGAAGCGACTGTATTTTTCCTAGTAATGAATTTACATGAGAATTATTCAGTGGTTCATGGCCGGATTTTGGTAATATCAAAATCTGAAGGATAACTCCATATGTTAAATCAAAATGAATTTGTTAATAAATTTCCCTCGTGGTCTTCGATACATTGATTTTGAAATTGATGTCAATTAGTTTCAGTTTTTGACTATTTCTATTGAAGTTATTGGAACATTTTCTGTTCGGCTCCACAGTTGAATTTGATTAGGTTTATTCATTCCTTTCATTTATACAGTGTTGTCGGTAGAGTCCACATAATATGCAACTCCATTATTTTTCAGTAAAAAATTCAAAAGTGAGGTTAGTTATCAGACTACCGAAAACTGTCAAAATTTTTTGGACACAATTTTGAGTGGATATGCAAAATTTCAGCTAGTGCTTTTGAACTTGAAACCTTCTCATAAAACTTTTTACGTTTGACAATGCTTTATTTCAAATGAATTTTTTTTGGAGTAGTGATATATTAAATTATGTATTGCTATAAAATCCAAATAAGGTTATTGAAATTGAAATTGAAATTGAGGCAAATATGATTTTCGACTCTTAATAAAGTAAATTATCAACATATATTTTTTTCGAAAAGGTAGTTTGTGGCTGAAGTATCAGTGAAAGCTATAATGAGTTGAAAATAAATTTATATTGAATCTGAGAAAAGTTTACACATGAAAAATGGATATCTTTTCAATCTCACTTTCTACCTACATGAAGGTTCCATTTTACTATCATTTTGCATCAGTGGTGCAATCAGAATTATAAAGTTGAAATTTAATGTATTCCACCTTGCCATTGTTTTAATTCTGCGATAACTGAAAACAATAATTTTGATATTACGGTATAAAGGACTATCATTTCAAGATAGAATATCGTACCCGTCTGAATCTCAATGTTATAGCATGCGTTTACGCAGTTATTTTTATCAAGTAGTTTCCTTGGTTATTCTCATTTCGTCTTCAATCGAAGACAGCCTGCCCGGTACTGACGATGCCCAGTATGCTGAAACCTATTGAAACCAATATCTGAGTGATCAGAATAGTACTTCATCTATTTATCTTTTAATTTTCATGGAATTATTTTCCAGCAGCTTGACTGCATTAATCTTTCTTTATTTCATATCATTTTTAGAAACATATGAATTCGATTTCGTCTTCAATCGAAGACAGCCTGCCCGGTACTGACGATGCCCAGTATGCTGAAACCTATTGAAACCAATATGTGAGTGATCAGAATAGTACTTCATCTATTTATCTTTTAATTTTCATGGAAATATTTTCCAGCAGCTTGACTGCATTAATCTTTCTTCATTTCATATCATTTTTAGAAACATATGAATTCGTTTTACGATGACATTCCAGGATAGTTTCCTAAATTTCTGTTACAGCAGTTGTCGGTTGATTGGCCAAATCACCAACACTGATATAAAAACTTGTAAAGTTGACTTTGGTGTTACACCAATAGGTGGTTCCACTCATGTCTCGCTTGCGTTTACGCAGTTATTTTTATCAAGTACTTTTCTTGCTTATTCACATTTTGTGTTCAATTGATGCCCAATAGGCTGAAACAGGTGTCTACCATTGGCTCTTGAATTGAAATCAATATGGGAATGATCAGATTAGTACATATCTATTTATCTTTTTTTCACATACAGGGTGATTCAAAAGTACTTTGACAAACTTCAGGAGGTGATTCCTCACAATATTCTAATAAATAAATGTCCGGAAACGCTTCGTTCCCAAGATACAGGATGTTGAAGTTTCATTTTTATTTTCGATTTTTTCAAATAACTTTTGAAATACTGAACTTGATCAAACGAAACTTGATAATAGGAGGTTTTTGAGGTGTCGAATTCGAACCTGATGTTCTTATTGCTCTTACTCGTAGGGGGCGCCACCTACACGTCTTTTTCTTTTTTAAAGTTTCATAACTTTTTTGGGCGTACTTCTAGCACATTTTTCAGTAGAAAAATCGATTCCTTCATCATATATACGTAAATAAGCTACCCTTGTTACTAGTCGCTGTAAGCAACCGTTTTCTAAATATTTGGACTTGAAAACTTCAAGTCGATTATTTGATAATCGATGCATGTTGAAGTTATTACGAATATTTTGCATTTTTCACAAGACATTTATTTATTTGGACAATTCATATTAGAATATTGTGAGGAATCACCTCCTGAAGTTTGTCAAAGTGCTTTTGCCCACTGTATAGTCAGTGGGCATACTTGTATACTGGCTATAAATCAAATCATTTGAAGGAATAATTCGTTCAAGCCAGTCTCAACTCCCTATACTGTAGGTTAATGGATAATACCACGAAAGGCGTTGGACTATATCCGACAGGTGTCGGTGCAGGATACTTCACTGATGTTATTCCTGTATATGCGGCAGTTGTATTGCCAACAGCATATGCATTTCTGATAGGTGTCAGTCCAATAAACTACAGTGTAGGGAGTTGAGACCGGCCTGAACGAACTGTTCCTTCAGATGATTTGATTTATAGCCAGTCTTCAAGTATGCCCACTGACTATATGTGAAAAGTTTTCTTTCCTTATACGAGAAATTGGGCAAATTTGGGATATGCGTGTATATATATAGGAATTTTCAGTTGGAAATGAGATATTTTTTTTATTTTTGCAAAATATCTGAAAGAAATCAAGTAAAAAAGTTCAATGAGCTTCTTTCTGTTTTTTTTTGGATATATAACCTTCCAAAGCCTAGAAAATAAACAAATGAAAATCAATAGAGAATCTGCTGAAGTGTAATAAGGTGCAAACTGAAAAGTTCATCCCGAAAAGTTTTTGCGTAGTATGAACCACTGAAGAGTCCAATTAGTCAGTAACTTGTCGTATTCATGAATTTTGCTTACAAATTTAAAATATAAATTGCAAAAAATTAATTATTTATACTTAGCTTTCTTTAGTGTTCGACGTCTCCGACAGCAATCTTTGTGAATTTTCAAAATTCGAAATTCACTTCATATCTATCGCCTCAAATTGTGAATAACACTAATTCTTTTGACATATACGTCCAATTCATCAGTTTGCCCCCTTTTACACTTCAGCCGATTCTCTTTTGATTTAGCTATGTTTAGTTTTCAAATTATAGAAAGTTATGTACCCCCAAAAAAAAAACAGTAAGAAGTATTGAGTCCTCCACAAAAATGGCTTTTAAAGAATATTCAGTGAGCTGTCAAACACATGTCCATGCATTTTGTTTTTTCAATTTTCAATATAAAGTTCGAAAAACACAAATGAACACCAAAAATTTTTAAGCAGTCCATCAAGGCTGAATGTGAGAAACTATTTTGAACTCGAAGAAAGAAATTTTTGAAACTTATTTCCAGCAACTTTCAAGAGTTTCATGATTTTCATATATTGTTATCCCATAAATGAAGTTTTCACCACAAAGACTTCAATCATTCTCAAACACAAACGCTTTCATAAGTTTCAAAATCACTTTTGAATCATCATCAGTTGTTATTAGTTCAGTGAATATAGTTCACATCCACAGTGTCATTATATTCAGACGTACCCTTTAAAATAAAAAAAATCGACGTTGAAATTTCATGTTGAAAAAAGTGTTTGTGATTTTGTCAACCAACACAAATTATTGAATATAAAAATCGTCTACAGGAGCAAAAGGTCAATGAACTCTTGCTGAAGCACATACCTTCACCAAAAAAACTATAACATTTTTTCACAATGTTAGAAAAAAAGCGCGAGTTAATTAAAACCTGTCAACTTTTTTTTTGTATCTATTCGAGGAGTGAATCTTCCTTTTTTTTCTGAACAAACGTTTTTTAACAACGTTGAACTGGTAATTTTTTCAGAGTTACTTTTTGAAGATATCAAACATTAAGAGCATTTACACGTCAAAACTCGAACTGCGCGAAACTCGAAAACCATAACTGGGATGAACTTGATTCTATTTTTGAAATGCTCATTTGCGGGTTACTCGTAGTATATTAGAGAACCATGAGCACTGCTTCCTCAAAATCTTCCTGAACACTGAAGAAATTGGTGAATGAAATGCATCTCGATAGTCACGCACGGGTGGGAAACCAAATTATCCGCTTATTGGCCAAGAAACCTCGCTCCTCCTCATAAGACACTCCCCACTATACCGTCTTAAGTCAGTAGTACGTCGATGTATAAAAGCATTGCTTGCAATGACACTTCTGTAGACACCGTGAGGCATTTGATTATATAAATCAGGTACCTACAATACGCGATTTTAAATCATAGTAATTAATGAAATCATAAAATGTTCGTTCACGATAGTACAGTGCTATGGAAGTTGGTGTCGGAGGCGTATTCAACACAAGTTTTACTTGCAACATCACTAGTGTTACTCGTCATGAAATTAATCCAAGTTATTAAACAAGAATGGAATCTACCCCCAGGTCCCTGGGGTTTGCCGATAGTGGGCTCAATGTGGTCTATAAAAGGCAGCGAACTCCACCTATATTATCAAGATCTCGCCAAAAAATATGGACCAATATTCTCCGTCAGACTAGGCAGTCAATTGTGCGTAGTTCTGAGTGATCCCAAACAAATAAGGGAAGTTTTCCGTAAAGAAGAGTTCACCGGCAGACCCACTAATGAATTCACAAACATCTTAGGAGGCTACGGTAAGCGTGAATTGAATTAATTCATAGAAGATTAAAAATAATTTTGCGCGGTTCTATAAATAAAAGTTGTATATGATTGACATACTTTACGATGGCCTTCGCAGGTCACATCTCTAGTAAAAGTGATCATTTTCATTATCTGAATAAGTTGATATCGTATCACATAACCTAGATTGTGAGCGGCTGAAAATGATGATTACTTGTAAACAAAGATCAATATTTACTTATTCGATTATATGGCAGATTTTTTTATTGAATATGCGATTATTGAATGGAATGATAGTAGAGTTAATTTTGAAATATAACAACGTTCTTTGCAGAAGAATAAAATTTACAGATAATTTGCACTTAAGGTGCTGTTAAACAAATAAAATAATTTCAGAACCCATTCAATAGCTATCAGTAGTTTCGTCCCTTTCGTTGATTCATATCACTTCTTTTAACACAATTCTGTTCCTTGACAGAAAAAATATGAAAACAGTAGTTTCTTCCTCAGCAAATTATTTCATTATAACTCAGAAATCAAATCACAAGCTCTGTTTATTTTATCTGGGAGCTTAAGCTAAACTGTCATCTCATTTTCAGGAGTAATAAATATTGCTGGAGATTTATGGAAACAGCAACGTAGGTATCTTCATGCCAGTTTTCGTCGTTTTGGTATGTCGTATTTTAATGCAAGAAAAGACCTCATGGAAAAGCGTATTATGGACGAAGTTAATAGTTGCATCGGGTATTTGAGAACAATAGGAGGAAAACCAGTGGATACGAGTGAAGTTTTTGCTGTTAACGTTTCCAATGTTATATGTGGGATGATGATGTCTGTTAAATTCTCCCATAATGACGTACAATTCATTCGCTTTATGAATTTGATTGAAGAAGGCTTCAGACTGTTTGGATCATTAGAAGTAGCCAATTTCATACCGACGTTGAGGATTTTGCCTTTTTGTTTCGGAGGAGTTGTGGCGAAAATCGAACAGGTAAAAACATGTTATAGTTACTCAAAAGAACAAAGGAATCATTTTTTCCGTATAAAGAATATTGCTCAAAAGTTGAAATGTCAATAATTCATCAATGAACCTTTTTTAATTATGGATCTTTACAGAATCGTGCGGAAATGGCAGAATACATGCAAGAAAAAATTGACGATCACAAAAAAACTTTCGATCCAGGCAATCCAAGAGACCTTCTTGATATGTACGTGAATGACGTTTCTTTGGCAATGAAAGAAGGAAATGTGGATAGATTATTCCATGGAAAAGATCCCGGTGAGTAGAATATAAAAACTTTCACAGTGATTATTCGAACAACCAAATGTCTTTCATTGCCGCTCATAAAGTGTATATTTTTTATAGATCGTCAGATCCAACAAATCATGGGTGACTTATTTTCCGCTGGGATGGAAACCATTAAAAGTTCGCTTCAGTGGTCGATCTTGTTCATGTTGCACTATCCAGATGAAATGAAAGCTGTCCAGGAAGAACTTGATGAAGTAGTTGGACGTGGAAGATTGCCGGCACTGGACGATATTTCCTATTTGCCCATTACAAATGCCACCCTGAACGAAATTCTCAGAATTGCGAATATAGTGCCTCTGGGAACAACCCATGCCCCTACTAGGTAAATATTTCTCAAGTATTTGAACAAAATTAAGTTCACGCAATATCAGCAGAAGATAAATCCTTTTCGAAGCTAATTGTGATTTATTGACTTGAAATATTAGTACCATCAGATTATTCAATTTCTGAAATTTTCCGTTGTCGGTTACAATATTTATTCAAGTATTTCATTAGTAACGGTACAACTCTGGCCTGAAATATCATAACTGAATGGCAAATTCCATTAGAATTTTTCGAAAATTTCATGAACCCGTAGCCTAAATTTATTGCCAATCATCCCAAATCTCAGTTATAGTAATGCTGATTTCATCTGAACTGGAATTAAAATTGAAACAGAGATATATTCACCAAAACATGAAATATCCAAACTTTCAGGTGTACTTCATTTGGTTCATTTTTTGTATCATATTTCACAATCTGGAAAAAATTTAAATGAAATATTCATCGTAGGTGTAGAGTTGCTATTTCATATAATTCCTCACTTCCTGTTGATTTTGATCTTTCGGAAAACAATAAAGATGAAAATATTAGCCTTCAGAAAACTCCTGTATATTTTCGATGCCAGTTCTTCGACTACAAATATATAGTGATCTGTTTTCATAATTATTCAGTCAAACATAATTTGACACCTGGTAACAGAAACATTTTATCCTAATTCAAAAAAAATAGTTTTGACCTCATTATAAAATTTAAATTTGAGATATTAGAATAAAATATCATTATTCATTCATATACTTCGTTCAACAATTCAGCTTACAGCGGTTTCATTTAGTCTCCTTTTCATTTCGATGTCCATTGTCCTTGAAGTAATGTATGGCTTTGAATCTACTGAGTGTCCCAATCGAAACATAATCGAACAATTTTGATAGTGATACTTTTGAGAATCAGCGTGTTTCTTTCCTCATAAGTCATTTTGGTTCAATTTGAATTTATGAATGAAAATGAATGATGAATTTTAAGTCTCTCTTTGTATGGGTTTAGAAATTTAAAAATAGAGATCAACAAATTGTCGAAAATAATTCAGAAGCTCTCATTATCTGAGAATTGTTATTGAGTTTTAGATACTTTTATCCAGTTTTCTATCCATAACATTTTGCAATGATGGTTTGGCTATTTTTGAACATTTTAGAGATTTAATTTTAATTGTATTCCCACAACTAAGAAGTTTTATACAACGTGGGGTGTTGGTGGTCTTAGAAATAAACTAGTTTCTACTTTAGCCCAAAAACTCTTTTAGTTTTCAGAAGATCGTAATATCGAAAAGTCAATCAAATATCTGGCTGTCTGTTTACACATAAATTAGTCTTGAAGGAACTTCTAACATGAATTAAGTAAATTGTTGCCAAACAATTATAAAGACCTGTTCCAAAAACAAATAGATATGATGCGAAATGGAAGTACTTACCTATATAAGTTTGTAGAAAAATAATGTACGAACTTTACGTAAATATAGAATTTACACAAAGTAATGATGAAAAAATTTTTCAAAGTCTTATAGTGTTACTTCTTTGTGAGTTTGAATTTGATCTCAAACAATAGAATTCAACCATTCTTCAAAATTTATATAACCTTTGAAGTTTAACGAAATGCTTGGGAAAGAGTTTTCGCAGATTGAGTAATATTGAATTTTCCGTCTCACTATTTTGTGACCGGTTGAATATAATGGAAAATTCGAATCGATGATTTTTTTTTCGAAAGATGATGACAAAATCAAACAAAGATGATGAACTGATAGAGGAAAAGATGACAGAGCTGAAAACAATTGACTATAATTTGTTAACATTTTGTTCCTATATATTGCACAATTATGTTGAAATTTTTGAAGAATGGAAGCCCGGAACATTAAATTAAATAATATTGCGAACCATATTCAAAGAAATTAATCAATAAGTAATTACAAAACTTTGGAACTCATTTTTTGGTACACGGTGTATGTAATATGTGGATTCAGCTCTGTGGCAATGTAAATTCGGCTCCTGCAAAAAAGTGAAAGCTATCGGCCTGAAAATAATTTATTTTTCGGTCGATGAACTTCGGTCATTCAATTCAGACGATTTCTTAAATATTTCGTAATCACGCAAAACGACTGTTGAATATAAGACAATACTGAAGAGTTTATGTAAGTTAAGGTTCAGTATACGCACTATTATGTAAATCATTTAGAATTTACTGAAGGTTGGAAGAATATTAGTTTCTACTCTTGTGTTTGTTACAGGGTCATAAAGTTGGGAAAATACACCTTGCCTAAGCATGCGCAAGTTGTGCCCCTACTTCACTATGTGCACATGAACCCAGATCTGTGGGACGAGCCAGAAAAGTTCAACCCTTCCAGATTCATCAGCTCAGAAGGTAAACTCTTGAATCCAGAATGCTTCTTACCATTTGGAGAAGGCAGAAGAAAATGTCTTGGTGAAGTTATGGCTAGGATGGAGATCTTTTTATTTTTCTCGTCGATTTTACACTCCTTCGATCTATCTGTACCAGAGGACCATCCATTACCTAGCTTAAAGGGTATCGCCGGTGTCACACTCAACCCAAATGCTTTTAAAGTATGCCTTAAGGATAGACCCCTGATTGGGTATGCCAATTAGACCGGTTGATAGCAATAACATAGTAGAGAACATTGAAAATGGTTCAAAAAACGAAGTACAAAAAAAGATATATGGCAAATCAGTGCATATATTATTCATTCGTTTGCCAATCAAAGTGTTTTAACTTTGATTACTTACCGATATTTATTATTACGGAACCCTGTAGGAGAGCACGGTTGAGTTTGTTTCCTAATCGCTAACAGGGATACAGTACTTATACATCAGACATATATTTTTCACGAGAAAAATCAGATCTCCGATTCAGGTCGGCTGTGCGAGTTTTAAAATGTGTTCAATATCGTTTATATTATTAGTCAGTAAAGTAAAAAGACTAGTCAAGCATTTCATCCCATGTAACTCCAAACGCTGTTAAAGTACCTTTAAGTTTTTACCATTTTGAAAAAATATTATTTTTTATTAGCGGACGTTTGCAAGATTACTTTGAACTGGTTCGTCTATATGAATGGAGTGATCCAATAAAAACAGTCTTTCGCTTACTGTCTAAACATTTTTTTTAGGATGTTACAAAAATTCTCTCAGAAGTGCAGCTCGATATCTCAACTCTTTACGGAGGTCACTGAATTTATAATGTTCTTTCTAAATAACACGAAAAACAACTTTTTCCCCATTTTCTTTCAGTAGAACTACGAAAATGATTTTGAATCAAACTTGGAGCTTCTGTTCTTGTCGGCAATTCAATTCTCATTAAAGAAGCTTTGATCCATATTTCTTTCGTTACTCATCTACCAGAATATACAGGTTTGGAGTAGCATTTTCATTTATGTTACCATCTATTTACCAGACAATTTGATTATTGAATGTTTTTAGAGCTTCTTCATCATTAGATGTTTGTCATCCATTTCCATATAATATTAGTGTTGTATATATTCATGCACAAATCTTGCATATATTGCAATAGCAAATTGTGTTAAGATTATAATATTAAGGTTATTTTATATAAATATTATTTTGACGCCTTTATGATGCGAATAAAATCATAATTGAATCACTGTATTTTTATTTCTATTTTGTTTTGAAGTTAGATTATGTTTCAATGCCAACATTGGAGGAATTAATACTGGTACAATATTCAAAATGAGTAAACGAAAAATTCAATCTATCGAATCAAATCTTCGTGAGGTATTTGAAATTGTAGTGCATTCTTACTTGAACTTAGTTTTTTGTAAAATTGGTGAGAAATGCTATGTACTTCTAATTGAAACACACTGGAAGCATATTTATAGACAACTACAGAATTATGAAATCAGATTTTCCTACATGTGAAAACTAATTCAGTAACATACAAGTTAGCCAAACAAAAACGAAGAGTCGTTATCCAGCATCAACATTAAACGAAATCCTCGATTTTTCATTGAACGGGACACTCTTTTTCGGTCATTTTGACTTCATATACCGCAAAAGATAGGTATATTTCATTTCAAACTAGCCACCCACCCCGGCCCGCTTGGGCGCCATGCTGATACTGAATATACATATAAACGCATGCGATTGCTGGTGAGCATAAAGTGCTAGAGGGCGAAGCGCGGCCTTCAACGCGCTATTTATAGGCATGCGCCCCCGGCCGGTACCGTCACAACCGCTATGTCCCTGCATTTTAAATCTGTAATATCTTCAATAATATTCATTTAGATTACAAGCTGTGAAGGATCATATCAAAATCCGTTGCTTAGTTTTAAAGATTTAAGCAAAACTTGCAAATTTCATGTTGTTGCCATGCTTTTTGTGAAGAGCTTACAGAATTCTAGGGCAAGTTTATTGTTACATTTTTCATGAAAGATGACAGGTGCTTCATCAGGACCAGAAGGCATGGAATAATATCTGATGATAGGAATTGTACAGGGAAGAGAGAGGGTGATATTATTTTGAACCATATGCTTGTGTTGGTTGTGGAAATGAAGATTTGATGCTGTAGCCACTAGCTAGAAAATTGTAGAACCGTTGAGATTAGCAAGGACTATCTATAGTCCAAATTATCTTGTTGTGCAGTTATTAACTTTGGTTCTTTCTCAATTTCCATTCGTTGCGGGGGTTAACGAACTCGATTAGATTCTTAGTATTGTGATTTCTACACAACTGTATGTAAGTAAGATTTTTACAGACGACAGCTTGTTTCCAACTTTTGTTGAAACCTGAGACAGTCAAGCGGCGTTGGAAACTCTTGGATCCTACCGAACAAAATCTGAATTGGTAGCAAATTGCCAAAAACGATTCTCCTCGATAGGAAGACTCAATAGATTGTCTCTGGTCTGGGCTACTGGCCATACTGGCCTGGAAGGCAATGAGACTACTGACTCCCTTGCAAAGGATGGTGCTGCAAGCAGGTTAATCGGACCAGAACCTATCATTGGCATCGCTTTAGGCTTTGCCAAACAAATATTGAACACCTGAATGACAAAAAGATTTATGGATTTCTGGCAGAATCTTCCAAGGTTGGCTCACTCCAAACCAATTATTTACCATTCGGAGCTTGATACCAAACAGTTATTGGACTACAATAGGGATGAACTACAATGTCTATCAGGCATTCTCACAGGTCACTGTCATTTGAATCATCATATGCAGAGACTCGGACTGTCGGAGGACAGTGTATGTCGCCTGTGTTTGGAAAATGATGACACAGCAGAGCACCTATTTTGTACCTGCCCCGCTAGGGTCCGAATCAGGTTTTTTGAGTTCGGCAGAGTCGTACTCTCACCATCTGACCTTGAAGACCACTCACCATACAAACTAATCGGCTTCGTTGAGAAGCTGGGTTTATTTGGTCGAGTGTGAATAAGTGTGAGCCACAATAAACCCTTGCGGATTAACTTTGACGTTTTTTAGTACACTTTGTACACTTTGATTTTAAAATCCAACAACAATCCTATTAGATTTTTAAGATTAATGAATAATGGCATTTAAAAAACAAATAAATAATGAGTACCTTTCGGATCTTCCGGGAGAAGGAAATACTAAGAGCAGACAGTTGTTGGTTCACACATGGATCAAAACCACCTTCCGGTTCTGGTGCAGGTGTTTTTAGTCTCAGATCCAGGACAGAGATATCTACCTGCCTAGGAATCTATGCCACTGTATTTCGAGCGGAAATCAACGCTATTGAATTGTGCGCGGAGAGACTGAAAGAATCCAACCTCATACACAAGTCAATAAAAAATATTCTGAGACAGTCAAGCGGCGTTGGAAACTCTTGGATCCTACCGAACAAAATCTGAATTGGTAGCAAATTGCCAAAAACGACTCTCCTCGATAGGAAGACTCAATAGATTGTCTCTGGTCTGGGCTACTGGCCATACTGGCCTGGAAGGCAATGAGACTACTGACTTCCTTGCAAAGGATGGTGCTGCAAGCAGGTTAATCGGACCAGAACCTATCATTGGCATCGCTTTAGGCTTTGCCAAACAAATATTGAACACCTGGATGACAAGAATATTTATGGACTTCTGGCAGAATCTTCCAAGGTTGGCTCACTCCAAACCAATTATTCACCATTCGGAGCTTGATACCAAACAGTTGTTGGACTACAATAGGGATGAACTACATGCAGAGAACATATGCAGAGACTCGGACTGTCGGAGGACAGTGTATGTCGCCTGTGTTTGGAAAATGATGACACAGCAGAGCACCTATTTCGTACCTGCCCCGCTAGGGACCGAATCAGGTTTTTTGAGTTCAGCAGAGTCGTACTCTCACCATCTGACCTTAAAGACCACTCACCATACAAAATAATCGGCTTCATTGAGAAGCTGGGTTATTTGGTCGAGTGTGAATAAGTGTGAGCCACAATAAACCCTTGCGGGTTGCGGTGGAAGGTCGAATAGACCCACTCACTTTGGACCTTACCTAACCTAACCTAACCGCAAACATCGTAATTTTTCTATAGATGACGTCCTATTGAATTAAGAGAAAATGGCTCCTATGGCACCATTTTGAAAGGAAATGATCACTTAGTTATATTATTGAAAATTTAAAAAATATAGTCATTTTCCAATTTCCTAACTTGGGTTCATTTTCGGTTACACTAAAATATCGACTTCAATGAACTATTATTCTGTTAAAAATTTCAAATTTATCACCTCGGAAACAATTGAATGGCGCCCGCCGTGTAGAAAGATTTCGTTGTAACCGGTATATTGGATGTTTTATTGAAATATATATTACGCATTACTTTTTGAGGATTTTTTCGTTTTTTGTCACATACGTATTTTTTGAGTGTGCATGATGAAAATCCAAAGAAATCAATAAACATTTATCTCTTCAGAAAAATAATTGAAATTCAGTGCGGTTTCCATAATTATAATTACAAATGAAATATTTCATTACAACTTTTCAAATTAAATAGTTTCATCCTTTCAGTTGACGAAACAAAAAATATGAGATATTCATATACGAAAAGTTTATTCGCAAAATGTTTATTTAGGTTTTCTGCTAATCAAAAATATTCTTAATAATGTACATATGTTTATGTTGATGTGCTCCTAAAAATAATTGACCTCACACATTAATAAACTTTTGTGACTAATACTTCAGTTTCTAAATAAATAATATTACTTACGGAAACATTGGTATCAAGTTGAATTTAATTGATTGAAATGGATCAAATGGTGTTTCTTCGGTAGGTTACTTCATATTCGTTCTCTTTGAAAGATTTTTGACTGTAATTCGTTTTCAAGATTTTATAAATACGTAGTTTTTTCATCTCATTTCTCTATGTTATGGACAGTAGCTAGTAACAGCAATAATTATTGATTTCTTTTTTTTTTCCTTTTTAAATCATCAGATAGCATCAATAAAGTCCTCGATGGAAATTATCAATCACCTGCAGGCGAGGAAAATATTTTTTGAAACAATTCCGTTGCAAAACTTATTGTTTATTCATTAATTATAAAGTCAAGCCGAATCATTTCATAATTTTACTAAATTTAATTTTGTGTGATTTGGGTGTCAATGTTATTCCACACTCTCCAGAGAAATCGACTTCTTCATTTTCCAAGACAAAGGAAAAATTCTGAATGATGGTTGTAACGAACAGGAAAAGTATCATTCTGGCCAGCTCATCTCCAACACACATTCTTTTTCCTGAAAAAAGTGAATAGATGGATTGAGATTACCAGTAGTCGACGTTAATAATAACGAACAACTTAATCAAAAGTTGAATTGTATCATTGACTGGCTGATACTCTTCAAAAGAAGTAATAAATACAGTTGAAATTTGTATTTGTATAATGAATAAATACATTTTGTTCGACTTCAAAGTATTTACCTTTTTGTGAATCCTATATTACCAAACTAGGACCAAAACGAACGTTGACTAATTTGTAATAAAAAGAACTCAATTATTTCACGGTTATATTGATGTTTTCTTCAGTTTTATTTATATTCACTTCATTTTATGCAGGCTTATCTAAGTTGAAAGTTATGGGGGATACGAGACCCAAAGTCAGTTGGCCGTAATAAAAATCAGAGAATCGATAGAGAAGGAAATCTTTCTAGCGGATATTCTTACTATGAATACATGAATATCTGTTCTCAAGAAGCAAATGATCAATTTGAAAAAAATAAAGGTAATTCTAGATTCCAGACATACGCGATCAACTTATTATGGAGAATGGTTTTGAAAGATAGAAAAGTTCGTGTGAGATACTGTTGAAAATTTGAAGATTCAATAATTCCTGTTTCCTCTGATCTTGAAATACATGAAGAAGAAGAAAGATTTCTTCTATCATCATTCAAATCTACATATTTTGATAGTTCATGATATATTTTTTGAATGGAATTACAAAATTTGTGATTTATTTTTGAAGACTAATCAAAATTAAACAAGTATCGAACTTGCTTACAGCAAAGTTTACTCTTGAAATGAAATCTTATATTATAATTAATATAACAATAAAATTTCTGTTTCCGCAAGGGTTGATCCTACGAACATTTTTTCCTATTGAATTTTGATGATATTTATCCAAAAGCTAATTTCTTTCGGGAGCTTGACAGTCGTGAGCAGCGATATTGATTTGACAAATTCCTAAGTGAATCGAAATCCAAACTTTCGAATTTCTCAATACCGAAATTTTCACTTGTAGTGACCTCTCAATCAATTACTACATACACCAGGAAACTAATCGAACATAAAACCTTGGTAACAATTTCTCAAATACCTTGAATTGAAAGATATTCATTTATAGTGGGATATATGATGGAGTGTTTCGTGAAGAAAAACAGAGATTTGCGTTTCGCGCATTTTCACTTTCTATGAAAAAATGAAATTAAGAATGGAAACCTTGGAATGGTTATGGAAAAGACAAATTACTTATCCAATTCGTTTTGATAATTTATAAAAAATATTATCTTTGTAACGTTAACGTTTGCGGGATAGAAATCCTTCTAGGACATCAGAATGCCCGAAAGAAATCTGCAATAATTTAGGTGAGTTGAAAATGGAATAAACAACTCTTCAAATACTCTGAAAACCTTCATTTCTGATTATTAATTAATCTGATCAATCTTTGGCACATGCCCATATACTGGTATTGCAACTATTTTGCTCTTGTTCCATGAAGTGTGGTTATAGTCTATACGAAGATAATCCGAACAGCTGAATGGAAGACTGTATTTCATCAGTTCGGACTTCCATTGTCTAATATAACTGAAATTGATTTGAAATCCCTGGAAGAATCTGTAAAAAAATTAAAGTGATTAACCAGAAAAATAACAATTTTATTAAACAAAAAACTGAAATTACAAACAAATAACATACAAGCAACAACCAAAAAAATAAGAAATTGAAATATCAATACAAGCTGAAAATAAAAAAATATTATTGAACAAAAAATTAAAAATTAAAAGATTCCAAACCAAGTTACATCACGACGTTTCGATTGTTAGTATCCACAATTGTCTTCGGGTGATAACTGGACTTACTCATCCGAGATCTGACTATTTATAGGTCATTTGAGTGCTTTCACCTGTCCCCTCTTCCCTCTCACCGCTTCATTGGTTTTAGCGGGAAATGACCGTTTGGCGGGAGTTGGTCGTTTTCCTCTTGATTATAGGTTTCCATATATTACGTATCTCTACGCTACCTTGACTAAATGCGTTGTTGGACAACATACACGCGGCTTTTTTGAATTTACTCTTAAGCCAGTGTTCCTCTTTGTGGATGATTTTAGCTTGAGCTCACTTGATGTTATGTTAATGAGTCCAAACATGCTCTGCTAATCCGGAAATGCTGGTTTCTTCTTGCTGTGTTTGTTTCTAGTGAGGCAGGTTCTGATGTTCTACTTGGACCCAATCCTTCTTATCCTTTCCGACAATCCTCTGATGTAGAAAAGTACAAGTACTGGTTGTGGCTTCTATTCCTTGTGGAGCTCTTGATGCAAACTAGGTGAAGTCTGTTCTACCATCACTCTGGAGTAACCATTTCGTTGAAGGTCATTTTTGATGATGCCTAGTTTCTTTTCGAGACCTTCCTTTGTATTACAGAGCCCGAAAGCACGGTCTAGTAGAGTTTTGATGATTTCTCTCTTAATCGATTGATGATGGTTGGATTTCTGATTCAGATACTGTCCTGTGTGAGTGGGTTTTCGATATACAGATGTTTTCCATTTAGTGTCGGTCCTCTTCACCAACACGTTTAAGAAAGGCAATTCGTTGTGGACTTCCTTCTCCATTGTGAAAGTGATGGAAGGACTTACATTGTTGAGGTGCTTCAGAAAAGTGTCTAGTTCTGCATTCCCATGGTTCTATATTTTGTGTCGTCTACGTATCTCAACTAGACTCGGGGCTTCTTGTGGGCTTCTTCAATGGCTAGAGTTTCAAACCACTTCATATATAATATATTGGCTGTAACCGGTGAGAGTGGCGATCCCATTGGCAGTCCCTCATCTTGCCTCTAGTAATTCCATAATTACTTGTATCGGTACCACTGCGAGTTCCGAGAATCATACATCGGTGAAACTAAAAGGCCATTGAAAGTTCGCATTGCTGAGCACAAGAAACACACACAGCGACAAAACAGCAAATCCGGAATAGCAGAGCATGTCTGGACTCATCAACATAACAATAAGTGGGCTTAAGCTGAAATCATCCACAAAGAGGAACAATGGTTTAGGAGAAAATTCAAAGAAACTGCGTATATGTTATCCAACAACGCATTTAGTCAAGCTAGCGTAGAGATACGTGACATATGGAAACCTCTAATCGAGCGGAAAACGACCAACTCCCGCCAAACGGTCATCTCCCGCTAAAACAAATGAAGCGGAGAGAGGGGAGAGGGGGTAAGTGAAAGTACTCGAATGACCTATAAATAGTCAGATCTCGGATGAATAAGTCCAGGAGCGTAAGGGCCGCCGTAAATGCACCGTATTACATCCCAAACAGATTCATATACAGAGATCTAGGACTGGACACAATTGTCAACCAGATTCAAACAAACGTTGAATGGAAGACTAATGTACCAGGTCTCATAAATTCACTAGCTAATACCATATAAAACTTCCCACATGAAAACAATGATAAGACCTCGTAACTATACCACGCCACCCATGTCATACAAAGAAACTGCCGACGTCCGGTAACTATATAGTTTTTATGTCATTCGAATTGACTTAGTTCATACTATAATCACTGTAAAATACAGAAAAATGTTGTGTTTTGACATGTCATTCAAGGTTAAGAGGTTTTGAAAACTTAAATTTGGTGTTCATAGAAATATGAATAATCCAAAGTTAATTAACTGATATTCTGTGAAATTTCCAGTCAGTACTTCGAAACAAGTACGGCAGTGTCTAGGCATCCAATGACTTAGTCACAAACATTTGTTACGTGCTTAATAGCTACGGTGTCATGACAACAAAAATTAGATAATCAGTGGGAAGCTATTATTTTCAAGAAACCATACTTACCTATTTGAAACGGCATAAAATGAGCATTCTTGACCACTTTTCCTTCATCATCGAGGAACCTATACGGATCGAACTTTTCTGGATCATTCCAGACTTCTTCATTCATATGCATTGCCCATTGTAGAGGTACTATCATGGTTCCTTTAGGAATTCTATATCCCTCGATGACCAATTCGGCCATAGTCCCATGTGGAATACCAACTGGTACGACTGGTCGAATTCGTTGAGCTTCGCAGATAGATGCTTCGAGGAGTGGAAGGTGAGGCATATCTTCCAAAGTAGGAGGTCGACCTTGAAGAACATCGTTGATCTCTGAACGAATATTTTCCTGGATTGATTTATTTTTCGCCAAGTACATTAAGTACCATCTACATAAGAAAAATGTAAAGAAAATAATCTAAAATGATTATCTTAAGTGATAAAATTAATTATTGAAAGAATGTGTAACCAGAGAACTTGATATTTCCTAAAATTTACTGTGGACCTGTTATTTCAAAAAATCACAAGTTTTGAAAGTTAACTTCATCATCAATCTAGTCCAGACAAGCCCAAAAAATAATAACAACTAGAAAAATCACCGAGTGTTTGAAGCAAGAATATTTTTACTTTCTTATACATTTTCTTTCCTCGTGATGCCATTCGAAATTATTTGAGATTGTAATCGGTATTTGAGTCGCAGATTCACGAATGGTGACAATAATAATGTCTATTGAGCTGAACAAACTTACTTATCAGCTACACTTCATCAGGAACTTCTTAACCAACTGAAATATAGTGTTCAGTTCGATTCTTGCTTGTCTCATTGAGGCCTTTTATTTCAGTGTGAAATCGATAATTGATTATGAAAACTGCACACTGGGTACAAGGAGTTTTTCTTTAATAAGAATTCGATGATTTCAAAGTGAATTATTCTAACATAATTTCACTAATATAACTTGATCAGTGTATATATCCGATAACACTTCATTTTGGGGCTACGGTTCTCTGTCAAATCTAAGAACGTATTCTTTTGGGGTAATGGGGTACTAACGACCTCTTCAAGAACCAAAAGTGTATACAGATAACTGAAAAGAATCTTATAAATTGACCCTAAATTTGCAACGGATATAGACTTTCAACCTCCACCAATTGAAACCAAGAATTTAATCGATGCCTAAAACAAATAACTTGATTTCTTCCACTTGATATAAAGATTGATTTTTGTTTTTCCTTTATACTTTCGTTACAGTTTCTTTTGAAAAATGTTTAACGAAACCATAGATATATACCAGATATTATGAAGCATATTGTGTCTCAATGTGATCATTGATATAAGGAAAACATGTTATGTAATTGCAGGAGTATTTGAAATACCAAGAAATAAATGAACTTCAAAATAGTGAATGCAAATTACGAGGATTTTCTGTTTCTCTATTTGATTTGCAAACGAATAGTATGTGAAACATTTTTCAGGTGGATTATGCTAAAAAATTAATGAGATTTTAATGAATCTTTGGTGAAAACAATCAAGGACCATAATTACCTTAATGTGGTCAAAGTAGTGTCTAAACCTGCACCAAATAAATCAGCCAGCAAGTGGTAGAACTGCTGGTCATTGTAGAATTTATTAACAATTTCTTCATTTCTCCGAGTTCTCTCCAGAAGGAAAGCTTGTAATATATTAGTAGCACTTTTATTGGAGTTAAGGTCACCTACTTGTTCATCGATAATTTTTTGATAAAGCTCATGCGTTTTGTGTTTACCATCCAATAGAAACTTCATTGTACGTTGATATTTTGGAAGAAATCTAAAACGAATGAAAGTTGTGAATATTTGAAGGACAATTTTGGTACATGTGTGACTAAATCATTAGTTTGTTGTCACTTTCGAAAAATATTTCTCAAATTATGCTAAATGATACTCATGGAAAGCAATTCTGTAATTCATATTTGCTAATGTTCGTTAATGTGTCGCAAGTAGGAACTTGTCATTATAATACCTTTCTACAAAGTAGGGCGCCATATCCAATATGAATATTTGAGAAAATTGAAATGAATCAACAATTTCGTATAGGTTAGTAGCTCAAATTCATGACTATTTTTGTAACGTACACTGAGAGAGTAGGGTATACATGATACAATTTTCATATGCACAATTCTCTGTGATCAGAAGAAATGTGATTCGTGAAGTGAATATTTCCATAAACGATATGAAATGTTCTACATTAATTTGATTCTTCCAATTGAGAAGCTCAAGTTATATTGAACTGGGGTTTTGAGAACGGAAATAAAGAATATTGGTGTTATCTGGTATTATAAGAGGTATTCACCAATGCAGCGATATCCCAAATGAAAAGCTGAAATTGTCGATACTGAAGGGAACGAACTATCTGATTTATTTATTTATTTATTTACATCCAACAGGCCAAGGCCCAACAGAAGGAGTATACAATAATAGAGCAGGTAACTATGTCTAGGTAAATGTAAGTTTAACACGTTGAACGCCACCGTGGGAGCCGTGGGTATATCAGGGCAAATTTTTTTTTGTGGTAGTGTCTCAAAAATATATTCTTCTTTCATATAATTTCAAGTTAGAAATGAAGAAAACATATTTCGACATTTTATGACGTTGTCATTAGTATGTATCCGCATTGGATACCCACGGCCACAATATTCATTTTTGAAAACTGCTGCCGCATGTATCCAATCTGGATACATGAGCCGGCAACAACGTCGAAAAAAATTAGAACAGGTGTTTACAAGTTTGGAACAAATCATTTGCAATGCCTTTTCATCAGACGAAGTTCATGCAGTGTCTTGACTTTGGATACTGAACTTCCGTACTCTTTGATAAGTTATTAGTGTTCTTTACATTATTTATACGGCATATTTCGAAAACAATGTCCTTCGATCAGTAACAATTACATTTACAAAAAATCATGCAAGAGTTGTTGTCTGACGAAGAGAATTCGCTATTTGGAGATGTTTACTTATCAGACGAATATCAAATAGAAAGTGATGACTGTAGTCATAGTGATAGTAGCTCGACTTCTACAAGTTTCAGAAAAAGTAAGCGCATAAAACTAAAAGCAACCAGATCATCTGACCTAGGTAAGTTTATGATTCCTTCAAAATGATATAAACCTAATGTTATTCGAAATCTAAAACAAATTACTAAATGACCTACCGTCAATAAAATTATAAATTGCATATAATATTAGATTTAGGTATTATAAAATAAGTGGAAAAATGTTGTATGCAATTTGCAAGTCTTTTTGTTAGACTGACTAGAAAACATTTACAAAATGTTATATCGAAACTCTAGGTACTTGATTATGATATTGATATCTTGAAATGACATGATAATTTTTTTACAGATATTTTCCAGCCAAGTACGAGTTCAACACTAATTTCAACAAAGCATGCCAGTACGTTGACCAAGAAACCTAGTACTACGATTCATGTCACAGAAACCATAGAAGATGTCATTGCTCAATTTCGAGTAGATGAATCGTCTTCAGAAGACGATGATTCACTTCCAACGAGTGATCCTACATGGGGACCAGTACAAGGTAATCACCTAAAAGATTTTCCGTTCAAGGAGCCGAATCCTGGCATAAAATCAGAAATATATGAGCGGTTCTACGATAAAACACCATATGATTTTTACAAACTTATGGTACCCGATTACATAATAAGCCATATTGTTCTTGAAACGAATCGTTATGCGGAACAATGCAAGAGAAATAATAATCTACGAAAGTCTAGAAAAAAAGCATGGGCCGATACCAACTCAGAAGAAATAGAGACATTTTTTGGAATAATTATGTGGATGGGGTTGTCTCAGTTACCAAGTATCGAGTCATACTGGCGGACATCATTTTCGTACTCCAATAAAATAAAGTCCTTGATGAGCAGAAATAGATTTCAACTTTTGCTAAAAATGCTTCATTTCAACAATAATGAAGGAGTCATACAAAATCGACTTCATAAAATAAACCCGCTCATTGATAAACTCCTAGTAAGCTTTCAAGCTGTTATCAGTCCTCAAAATGATCTATGCATAGATGAAACACTTGTCCCTTTCAGAGGACGTTTGTCGTTCAGACAATACATAAAAAACAAACGCCACAAATTTGGCATAAAGCTATTCAAGTTATGTGTCGATAAAGGATATACCTATAATTTTAGCGTATATTGCGGGACTGAAAAAACTGAAGGTCAAACGGTAGCAACGAGCGTAGTACTTTCCCTTTTAACCATTTCAATAGATCAAGGGAGAACCTTGTATACTGATAATCACTATACAAGTGTTTCCCTAGCTCACACTTTGTTAGACCGAAAGACACATATAGTGGGGACATTACGTTCAAATAGGAAGCTCAATCCCAAAGATGTTGTCACTAAAGAGATAAATAAAAATGAAATTGTCGCCGCTGAGAGCAACACAGGCGTGGTGGTTTTGAATTGGAGAGATAGAAGAGATGTTTTGCTCCTTAGTACAAAACACACTGATGAACTAGTAACAGTAAGTCAAAGGGGTGGTGAAGTACAGAAACCAAAAATAATAAGCGACTATAACAAATGTAAAGCTTTCATCGATCTTTCAGACCAAATGAAAGCATATTCATCATCTTTGAGAAGGAGCTTGAAACGGTACCGAAAATTGGGAGTTGAGCTTCTATTGGGTACGTCTTTGGTGAATGCATATATATTGCATCAAGAGGTTGCAAACGACAAAATGCCGATTACAAAATTTAAAGAATGCGTTATATCAGATTTGTTACATTTTCCAACTGGGACACTTAACAAAACGGCACCAGCTGATGAACCTTCAGCACAACATGTTTTGGAAGAAAGTCAAGGTGCTAGCAGAAAACGAGGAAGATGTGTACGATGTTATGAGAAAAAAACTGAAGAGGTTGGGAGAAAGGCTGCAGCTAATCAAACAACACAAAGTAAATTCAGATGTATAACATGTGAAAAACATTATTCTATGGCATAAAATACCCAATCTGTTTTTGTAATGTTCATTTCTTCCGTGAATATACATTTTGTTCATTATAAATCCTCCCAATACAACTAGGAAACGCTAGACTCATATACAGTAAACCTTTCTACACTATTTGGACCTTAAAATCATTATCGATCAGATACAAAATTTGAATAAAAATTTTAAATCAATCGAAAATAGTATTTCCAAAGTTGATGTAACGAACCCAATATTTTATCACGGATTATCAGAGAATATGCTGTTCAGAACTAAATATCTCATTATCACTTTACAGAGAAAAATCGACAATATTTTACCCTCATTCCATACTCGCAATAAAAGAGGGCTAATCAATGTAGTTGGTAAAGTAAACAAATGGCTCTTTGGTAACCTTGACTCTGATGACGAGGAATGGAAAATAATCAAGAAAAAATTATTCAAAAAACCAATCTCCAAATTTCTTTGTCTAAAACATCAATAAACCATTATAACAAAAACATTAGAATTTTCAACGCGAATCAAGAGAAGTTCGAGCGAGATTTGGAGAGATTTCAGGTAACGATTAGTGATACAATAAGAAATGTCGATAATTACCTTAGTTTTCAAGGAACATTATTACAATTGAACTTAGACTGTCAGAATTTGATAAACTTTATAGATAATATCGAAAATGTCATTATGTTTTCAAAACTGAACACTTTGCATGATTCAATTGTATCTACTACTGAACTTCAGGAGATGGCGACATATTTAATGAAAATATATAACCAAAATCAAGTTCCAAATTTCAAGAATACACGTATTACCAGTTTTTAGGAACGCAAGTCAGTTTCGTCAATACCGAATTGATCTTTGCAATACACGTCCCTATTGTTAGGTCCAAATTCTTTGAATTCTATCATGTATATCCTATTATCCAAAATCACATGATGTCTTTCTCCAAATACCCATATTTGGCACGGAACCAGGACAATATCTAGTTCGAAAAAGAAGATTGCCCGTTCCTAGAAAACACATATTACTGCCCGGAGAACTTTGCTCCACCGGATAACTGCACACTTCACCTTTTTGAAGGAAAAGCCTCAGAGAAATGCCACCTTTTGGAAATCAATGTGCAAGATCCCATTGTAGAACAAGTAACAGAAGATCGAGTATTGATAATCCCTTTCAAAGAAGAACGTGTATATTCCAAATGTAAAACAGATCAATACCTAGAAATCAATTCTCCAATATTGATCAGAATCCTACAATCATGCGAAATCTAAATCCATGATACAAAATATGTAAATGACATTTATATCCAACAAGGAAAACCCATGATTTTACCCAAATTGGAAATGACGAACTTGAAAACTCCAAAAGTCTACGACACCCCGAATTTCACCAAAATCAACCTTGATTAACTGTACCAAATAGACAGAATAGCCAATCAATTGAAGCCTATTCAATCGCAACAAAACCAAGGTCCTACAACACCTATTTTTGGGACTATAATATTTGTAATCATCGTCATCGTGATACTGCTCAGCCTGCCGAAATTGAAGCAGTATTACCAAAAAATATTCAAGAAGAACCAAAAACCCTGTGAATCTGCCGAAACCAAAACTTCAAAAAATAACTCCGTTATTTTTTCAACCTGAGGAGGGACGAGTTACGTGGAAACAGATATCAAGAAACGTGTCTTATCTACAGGGGCCCGAGACTTTGCAAACTGATTATATTTCAAATCTTGTAATAATTGTCTTAATAAAGATTCATTCTTTGTACTGCTCTCGAAGAGAATAAACGCTTTTTTTAGTCTTATGTGAAATTGATTTTTTTTTTAAAACTAAGTTCTCGATTTCCAATACATAATTCGCGTAAACATATCGAGCTATATCGATTGGAACCTTGCTTATGGCAAGTTAAATCTGATCATTACTATAATCATGCAAAAAAAGGATGCAGCGTACAAAGAAGTGGGAGGAGTTGGAACCTGGTGTCACAAAAAACTGTTATGGCAAAAATTAACATTCTGGGATCAGCTTTTCGCAAAAAGAGAAAGAAAGTTGAGGCAACAAAGAAGTCTGCAACATTTGCAGACAGCATATATAAGCCGAACAACACGATATTCTTATTGTATAGTCTGTATTCATTTGTTTTTTAATATGTGGTTATCTTACCATGGGAGTTTGCCATCATTCATGAAATAGGTCATGAAATTATTTCTGTTTTTTTGCCTCATTAAAAATATTTTCAGCACGATAATTAAGTGGCATCTTGTTCAATTAAGAACTATCGCAACCGATAGAAATAATAGACCCGTCATGACTATTTTCTTGATACATACAGTTTGCAGGGGCGTATGTACTAGAATGATGTTCAAACAAAAAGTTATGCAAAGCACTACCTCCTCTACATTCCGTGGATCTGAATTAATTGAGGACCGGAAGATACGATACCGTGAGGCAACTATCCCAAAAGCGTTTTCGAAAGTGTGCCTTGCTCGATATTAAAAACCTCTTTTTCGGCTGAATCTGTCAGTCCTTGCCGAAATGGCTTCAAAATCTCCGTTCTGAGAGGAAACGCATCGTCCGCAACGAAGACATACGGAACATTCTTGAAATTGCTGGTAACATCGTCAGGCTGGAAAATATTTGAACTCTCGTTCACCAGCCATTCAAAAAAAGATGTGTTCTGAAGAACTCCTCCACCGGAAATTCGTCCATTTGTTCCAAAAGCCACCAGTATGAATCGGTATTTTGCGACAAATATTGCTAGAAGAACCTTACTGGGTTTGCCTTTGTGATTTTAATAATAAGATCACAAAGAAGTACACAATGATGTTGAAGTTGAAGGCTCTACATCAGGAACTGAGAATGTTCCAGCAAAACGGCAAAGGCCACCAATTCCAAGGCCTGGTTTGAATAAAAAAATAAAAATGAATGATGAACTGACTACAGTGCGTGACCACTTCAAAGCACCTAGGGAATAATCTGACAAGTATGATCTGTTAGGAAAAGCAGTTGCTCTGCGATTGAGGAGTCTAGGAAATATCGGGCCCTCATTGCGACAAAAAACTACATGACGTGCTGTTTGAGACTGAAATGGAATCTGTGATGACATCGCCAATGGATAATTCTAACTTATCAGGACGACAACGTCCTAATACCACACATTAACCGTCAACGGTTATAGGTGCGTCATTCAGAGAAACTCAGAACCACGAAAGTGGTCAATCCCTCTACTCTCACAACAACTCAGCATATATCAATCATTTTACTCCAAGTACCGCACCAACAACGTCAAGAGAGATACCTAGCTCATTAACAGCAATTCATTATTCTGAAAACAACTCGGCACCTTCTTATTTTAATGAGTCCAAGTCCCACATAGTCACACAGTTATTATTCTCGGAACAGCTCAGCATTCTCGTATTTTAGTGATGTATTTTAAGTCAATTCAATTCCATTCATTTGTAAAAATAAAAGCAGATTTCTCGTAAAAATTGCTTGAATTTCTTTCATTAATATGAAATAATATGTACATATCTGCATATATCCCCTCAACACTTTGTACAGGGCTGCACATGTTTCTGGGATAATTTGTCCGAGTGCTTGAGGAGAGATTCTTGTAGAAAAAAGACACTTATACGAACGTCCTGTTGATAAAAGTTTCAAGGTAGCAGTCCATCTTTCGTGTGGACATATTGCTTTTCTCATGACGGTATTTTACTTCTTAATCGAAGGCGAAACCAACGAAAGTAATTTTTGGTACTTGAGAAAATCTAATGCCTTTTCCCTTAATTCTTTTAATGAATTTACGTGGGAAGGAGCATTTCGTTTTTGTAGCTGTGACGCAAAATTCAGTATCAATCAAAATTTCAAACCCAATACAAAAAATAAGTGCAAGTCCAAAGAAGTACGAAATACCTTAGGTAATGTGTAAATTGTTGTTAAACCATCTAAATTCGCGACCTAGTACACAAATGCAACACAAGGTTCCTAAGTATGTACAATTATTAATAAAGTATCTAACTTCGAAACTAATAGAAATATAAAAATATTTCTGAGTCCTAAGAGATTTCAAAATGCCGAAATATTCCAAAGTATCCACAATTGTTAGTGTCAAAATTCGAGAAAATAATTTGATTTTGATAGCGGCTGGCTCATTCTACCTTTGAAGGCGACAGGGCACCAGCATGTGCCATCCTAGCTTTATAACAGTGCAGGAGGCGTGGTTCATATGGAAGTTCTTAATTATTAGGGCGCCACAAGGTTTACCTTATCATCCAGTGCCTTTTCACAATGATCCACTCGCCAAACCTAGAAATAGTGGAACACAATGATGTCGAGTAACTAGAAATGCAACGGGTAGATATGTCTAGTGAAATCAAAATATATACAAGCCACCAACACTGTTTATTTGCACCCATATATCGACAGCCGTCTTGATTTCGATCAGGTTGAAGCCTGGCTCCCTCACCCTTTGGTTCGCCCATATATAGCACGACAATCCTGCTTATATAACGTTAGACAGTAACTATGGTAATGGGTAAGCAATCAGGAACATTCAGGGTGGAATGCATGGCGATATTAGAATGACAAATGCGATGAAGTTTCAGTCAGTGGGAGGTTACCTTGGTATGGCCATATCACGTTTACAGGATCCACCCTTTTAAAACAAACATTAAATTGTGTGGTTAGGGCGAGACAATAGAACACTGTCCGACAGCCTCCAAAAAACCCTAACTTATATATAGTAAGGATAAGTAAATAAACTATTGATGTAGTTCAAGGAACGAGTCCCTTGTATGACAATTCTTTAAATTCATAATTTTTGAATACTTTAAACGGAACAATGACCCACTGAGGGTCTCAAAACGCGAAAATGTCAAAAAAATTACTATTCTTCCGATCCAAAGTCGGTTCAGTTGAAAATAATAAATGAATACCAGGAGTAAACATCAGTAATACAGATCATAGAGCTGAATTATAATAAATTTTTGTTATATTCAATTGGTACGTAGGTCA